TGTACCAAATTGGAAATCAAGAAATGACTCAAGTGGAAGATCAGAATACCGAGGCAATTCCAAATACTGGGAATGCATCTAGGCCTCATACTATTCGAGATCATTTAAACCTTATCATGGACGGCCTGCATCATGGAATTGTGGAACCCATGATTCAGGCAGCCCACGTCGAGCTCAAACCGGTTATGTCCGACATGTTGGACTTTATTGGACAGTTTGGTGGTGCTCCTCATGAGGATGCAAGGCAACATGTTCGGGTATTTTTAGAGGTTTATGACTGCTTTCGACAATAAGGAGTGTATGAAGATGTACTGAAATTGAAGTTATTTCCATATTCTTTGAAAAATAACGCCAGGGCATGGCTCAATGGATTACCTTCCGGCTCGATAAGGTCTTGGGCTGACTTGTGCAAAAAATATTTGTTATGACATAATCCACCGAATATGAACAACCATCTTAGGAATGCCATAGCATCTTTTCACCAAGGCGATGAAGAGTCTATGTATGAATGCTGGGATCAATACAAAAGTTTGCTTTACAAGTGCCCCAATCATGGATTCCACGACTGGACTCAAGTTGTGATGTTCTACAATGGAGTCAATGCACCCACGAGGATGATGCTAGATGCCTCGGAAAATGGGACATTACTTGACAAATCACTAACAGAGGCATTTGACATTATGGATAGGATTGCCACCAACAATTACCAATTTTCATCTACAAGGCTTGGCCTTGGGCGAAAATCACATGGAGCTTTCGAGCTAGATTCTAAGGATTCGGTGTACGCCCAACTTGATGCTATCACCAATATGTTGAAGAACTTACAAAGGCCAAGCGAGGTGAGAGAAGTGAAGGCAGCCAATTCAACATGTTTATTATGCAACGACAATCACAATGAGAGTGAGTGCCTGATCAATCAAGAATCCATCAACTATATGGGCAAATACAATCGAGGCAACAACAACCCCTATTCAAACACATATAATCCTGGATGACATCAACATCCAAACTTTTTATGGGGAAATCAATGAACCAACAACTCTAGCCATCCCGCTAGGCAGTAGAACTTCAGTGACTCCCAGGGTTTTCAAACGAATATGCCATGGTATAATTCTAATGAGGGAGTACCATCTTCATCTAACACAAGTTCTTTGGAGGCCACGATGCAAGATTTTATCGCAACAATAAAGACCATGCTGCATGACCATGCGACCTCTATAAAAAGCCAAGAAGCTTTGCTTCAAAGTCACAACTCGTCTTTACGGGCCTTGGAGGGTCAGGTTGGCCGAATTGCCACAACATTACATTTTTGCCCATATGACAGTCTACCTAGTGATACTGAAGTCACTAAGGCTCAAGACAGAGAGCAGTGTGGTATATTCACCTTAAGGAGTGATACCAAAATCTACAAATATGCTAAGTTTGGGGAGAGACACTCGGAGATCCCGATCATGAGATTGTGCACGAAGACCCGAAGGTGCAAGAAGATTTACATTTGCTGGAAAACAATGATGAGGGTTCGAAGAGTGTAACCAATGAAGAAAAGAAAAATTTTACCACGGCAAAAGAAAAACTCCCATCAATAGAAGATGATGACCAAAAAAACGCTACAGAATTTTGCCACAACAAATTTTTATGCATTGATAATCACTTGAAGGAGCTCGAGGATATTCCAAAGGAGATGAGTAAGTCTAGCTCACCCAAAGCTATACCGGGTATGAAATTTGAACCTTTGAATTCTATTGAATTTACTAATCCTAAACCCCAACTAGCTGCTTATTTTTCTAGGCTAGAAATTGTGAAAGAACTAAGGAATGAAATAGAGATTAAGAAAAAATTCCCTAATGAGAAATTATTATTTGCCGCAACAATTTTGTGGCATGCTAACATTGTTAATTTTCTCGTTAGTGTTGTTTTGCTTGCTTACTTGACTAACCTAGGAAAGAACAAGGTCATACACGATGGTGGCTACTGGCATAAGGATGGCCTCGACCTCTCCAACGAATTTGATGCCCAAATGATTTCAAGTTGCCACAACAAAAAGGAGCAAAAAGAGATCTCATTCTACTACCATTCAGCTTCAGGAAAAGAGCACTTTGAAGAAGAGAGGACTACTGCAAAGGTCCTACAAATCATATGTGAAAGACACGAAATGCCAGGGCAAACTATTTTGAAGGCAGAACTATTATATGTGTGGGGCATTTTGGTCTACATTGGTGCTCCAGTCGAGCGCGAAAAATCTACACTTCTCTTGCACGATATCAGAACTGGCTAAGCATCTTGAGGATGCCGTTACATTTGGGATTTACTCCTGTAACAGATCATTTAGTAATAGCGCACGAGAAGTAGAAGGAATAACAACTTTGCCAACCTTATCAATGTCAAGAGCTACTACATTACCTGGTCCAATGAAGTCAGTTTGGGTAACCATGTTGGATGCATCGGGGGTAACATGATGAGTGGCCCCCGAGTCCACTACCCATCGATCGGCAGTAACAATGACAACATTTGACTGTGGTTGCATGCTAGAAGAGGGTGCACCCAAGCATCATTTAGAACAACATTCACAGTTTAAATTAACTTTCCCTGAGGCATAACGTGCATTCCCTGAGCCTTCTTTTGTTGATCCATAACTGTTAGTTGTTACACAGGTAAACTCTTCATCATATCGATGCCAGCATCGATCGACTAAGTGGCCAAGTTTGCCACATAGTTGGCACTGCAACTTGGTTCGCCCACGCCCCCTGCCTTGATTTCTAATACCAGGTCCATTAGCAGGGCAATTTGGCCTGGATTCTTGATGATTAGCAGAATTGAATGACCCACGACTTATATTTCCCTGAGCTACATTCGCACTAATAGGAAGTAACTCAACTTGCTCATCAAACCTTGCCAATTGAGACTCGACATCCATTAACATAGTGTAGATGTTGTCAAGGGACAATGTTTCTTTCATGGTCATTATAATGGCCATGAATGACTGGTATTCACGTGGTAAACCTTTTAAGATCGTAACGATGTGCTCTAAATGAGAAATAGCACTCCCACAAGAATTAAGTGCATCACACACCTATTTGACTCGTGTAAGTGTTAGGATTTTCGGAAGCTCGAAACGACAACCGAAACGATTTGCAAAGAGGGGTCGGAACGGTTTTGTGTTTAGGAGTAAGGAGATTGAAAGATAGAGAATTGCACAGTGATTTATAGTGGTTCGACTTTCTCAATCAAAGTCTACGTCCACTACCTTAGCTCCTCACCAAGGATTTTCCAACAAATTCACTAATTTGTTCTTTCTTTTGAGGATAAAGAGTAACTTTACAAACTCCCTAGTTTTTCCGGGCTAAACTAGAACCTTTCCCTAGCTTTTACATGGGCTAAGCTATAACCTTTCCCCTTTACAAAAGGATAATAAATGTAAACATGAAAACCTCTCTAAGGTAGGTGTTTACAAGATTGAGCTTACAAGAACAAAATATTTACAAGAGAAAGATGAAATAAGATTGAAAAACTCTTCTCTTGTGTTTGATTGCTTGGATAGTTGTTCTCTTACTTCTTCAAGTGTCATTAGCTTGTATTTATAGCTTGGAATGAGTTTGAAGTCGTATCTAGTCGTTGGGGATGTTTTGGAGCCGTTTGGGAATGATTTTTCTACTCAAAAAGGCTACCCAGAATGGGGGGAATCGGTACCCCTTCATAGGGAATCGATACCCCTTCATAATATTCAAATATTATGACTGTTGGGCTGATGAACAATGAGGGAATCGGTACCCCCTTGGGGGGAATCGGTTCCCCTTTTACAAACTGGAATTTTTGAGCCTCGGGTTACTGTTCAAATAGTGATTTACTGTTCAAATAGTAATTTACTGTTCAAATAGTAAATTACTATTCATAAAAACATTTTTGTGCTCAATTTTAAATTAAAAGAACTTTGAATTATTTTTGTAAATTTTGAATAAATTCAATTAAGTCCAAAAACATTTTGTAAATTCAATTCAAGTCCAAAAACCATTTTGTAAATTCAATTCAAGTCCAAAAACCATTTTGCCTTAAATTGTTATATCGAAACATAGTTCAACAGTAAGGTATGTGCACATGTTGTCATCACCTTTCTTTAACGAGTGAAGTTTGTAATGGAGGTTCATTAACGTTGTTGTGGACCTATTTGTAAAAAACTGCAAAACAATCCGCCAAATTGTTGCAACAGTTTTTGCTCCTACGAATTGAGGAAGAAGATGAGGGCTGATGGTCGATAGGAGCCAAGAAGCAACAACACTGTCTTGTGCAACAAACTCTTCATAGCTTTCATTAACACGTTCCTCACCATCCTCACCAAGTACAGTTTTTGGTGGAGGCAGTAATACTCCAGTTAAGAGTCGTTCAAGACGATGGCTTCTGATGGTTAAGAGGATTTGCTGCTTCCATAGAAAGAAATTGGTCTCATCAAGAACGATGTTGACCTTCTTGTTCGAGAAGTTCTTAGCACAACCAAGCTGAAGATCCATATCATGAACGAGACACAAAGATATTCGCGAGTAGCGGAGAGAAAAATATTCCTCAAACTCACCTAGAACCGCCAGCAATTGATACCATATTGAGATGTAACAATTTAGTTGAATACAAGCATATTCATTGATCAATGTTATTGTGCATGTAACACACTTACAGGTTCTTTATACACAGCTTGATAAGCAGTTACTGCCAACGTGTACAAGCTAACAGCCACTAACAGTCTAATTAACAGCTAACAACTAACTGCATACTAACTATTGTTGAATCAGCTGACTAACGGCTAACAACATGCATGCATACATATACGTACATCGTATAAAGCCCTAATAAGCTCCCATAGCTTCAGCCTCCACGCATTGTACGGCTATTAACGTTGTCGCTGATGCGATTGTCATGTCTGTCTTAGCCGTTTGTTCGTTTTTTCCCCAGGTGGGGGATGAAGAATAAGTTGCGGTGGTCGCCGCAATGGCTGCTACGACGGAGGCAACCACAACAACAGAGAGAGGCTTGTAGTTGTGTATTGTGAGCTTTGGTTTCTTCTTTCTTTTTCTCTTTCATGTCCTTTAACCATCTCCACACAGTCTTGGTCCTGTTCGGGGTGTTAATTTCGGTACCGACGCATGCCCGACCTTCATTGAATAAAGGTTGAATGGAGTTGTGGGTGAAGAAATATTGCAATAACAATGAAGATTACTAAGCATGTTTTGTTGTTTGATTTAAATTTAAACCAATATGATGTTGACATGTATCATTATCTTATTCGACAAAAAATATTAAATAAAAATATATAAATATTAAGAATTATATTTTAATTTTTATTTAAAATTATGACGTGACGGTGCCATGTCATCATATATTATGACTTAGATACGTCACATCAATATCTCGATCTACGTGTTCTTACTTAATTAGTATTATACGTTGATCGTCAGTTGACTAACAATTTTCATCTAACAAAAGCATTTTTTGACTTAAAATAAAATGTTTAGGGTCAAATATTCCAAAAAAGAAAATACGAATAAATTTGACAATACTCTAAAACATTAAAATTATTTTATTGGATTATGTCAATCCGAAAAGCAAGGGACAATGACGGTTCTGCATCCGCCTCTTTACTATTTCAGAAGTCCATTCTCGTAAGTTTCTACAAGTAATTAAATCAAACTCTGATGAATGTTCATAGGACCACCCTCCCCATGTGGGAAAAGGGACACGTGGTGTTCAATCGTACCCTCAATGAACAGTGGAAATGACCGGACAACAGGTTCTCTAAGGCCCCGCTACGGATTTAATATTATCAGCTTGTGGTCCTTTCTTCATTGACCCGTTTGGTTAGTTATGTTGCTTTGAAGTTTTGTTTCATGGTAAAAATCTTCCCATGATTAGTATGATAATCTATGATAATCTTGATGATATCACTTTTAAGACAATGCTTGAATCAATAGGTAACATCAGTATGCTCTCCATTAAAATCGAATAGTTGCAAAACAACTCAACATGACGACGTTTACCAACGAGTTTTCAGCTGCCTGGAAAAGGGGGCCTAAAAAGGTTTTGGTAAAAAAAATACAGGGTGACTTATCATGTTCATTATCGCATCATCATCATCATTCCATTATTCCATGACCTGCATTTTTCAACATCAACTTCGCCCATCCCTGTGTCTTCCTCTTCTTCACTATCTTCATCACCACTTACCTCTTCATTATCATTTCGCAACTTAGCCATGTGTTCGGCAAGCAATTTATCATCTCGTTCGCTCACCTAAAAATCAATCCAACATGTGAGACACACCGGAGAAAGACTGAAAATTTCAGAACGCAACAAAGACTAATGGCAATAATGGATCTGTGCTAAGTATCTACGTAGCAAGAAGATTTAACACTGAATTAAAGTCGATAAATATGAGAGAATATGGATACCCACTGCCTTAGGTTGTTCCTTGACAACAAGTTTTCCCTTGTGATACTCTATTGCTTCGGCGCAAGATGTAATTGCTTTAGTAAGAATGGCTATGCCTTGGTCCTGTACAGCACACAATAAAGAATTACATGATTTAGAAAGGAAAGCAAAATGTTAGACAGACACGCATGCAAATGGCAACATGAGCAGATGAATTTGGCATGGAGAGGCGAAAATGGAAACTCCAACAGGGGAAAAAATGTCGGATGGGAATCAACAGGGTTAACAGAAGATAATTCAATGCAAATGCTTTCAGATTTCAGAACTAAAAGCTGCGGATTGGAATTTCAAAGACAAGTAAAATAATTCACTGCAGATGGATGAAAAGAGACATTGCTAACCTTGTCGAGGGTTTGAGTGGTAAGAACATAAAGTGGAGGAGCAACAAGCTTGATTTTAACAGGGCAGTCGTCATTCCCAGCAGCCTCAGCTTTACACATGGCCTCCTGCGATTCAAAAAAATAATATATGTTGTAGACATCAATTTTTTTCATTTAAATTTATTATTATTATTAAAATTATTATTATTAGTATTATAATTATAATTATAGTTATATATTATTTATTAAATATTACAAAGCCCAATTACAATAACCCAGGCCCAACCAGAATCGACCCATATCCCAAATGGAAACCCTAAACTGATTTAGGGTTTCATCTAGGGTTTTCAAACCCTAGCCCCCAGCTGTTTCCAAGATCCCAGAAGGCCAGCCGCCGTCAGTATCATCAGCCGTTGGATCTGGCAAGATCCAACGGCCCAAAAGGGTTCCAGATTGAAAACCCTAAGGTTTTCAAACCCTAGCTGCCGCCTTCAGGTGTTCCAACCCGCTGTAGCCACGACACCACCGCCTCTTCGAAGACTCCAGAAACACCATGCCGGCCGTCCACGTCGCAGCTATGGGGTGAGTCACCACATAGTTTGGTGACTCACCAGAACTCATCTCTGGAACCGGTCCAACGAGAGCCTCGGTGGTGGCTATAAAAGCCACCACTGAACCTACAAAAAAAAAAAAAGAAAAGCAAGGACAGACAGCAGAGAACAAAAAAAACAGAACAGAAAAGAAATAAAGAAAAAAAAACAGAGAGGAAAGAACCGAACAGAGACGAACCCACAACCAACATAAAACCAAAACAGAAAACAAAGAAAGAAGGAAGAAACTTACCCTTGGAGCCTTGACCACCATCGGAAGCACTAAACATTGCCGGAGAACAGAAAATACCGAAGGTATTTTCGTAGATTTACTCCGATTAGGAGTCTTTTAGGGAAAACAAAGACCGGAATCGGTCTTAGGGCGTTTAGATCTACGCTTTGGGGGTGTTTTTGGTGAATTCCGACCACCGTTACGGTGGCCGGCGGCGGTGACCGGCGGCGGAGTACGGTGGCCTATGGCTGCCGGTTTCCCTCCGGCGAGGGAAACTAGAGAGAAACCAGAGAGAACTCTGGTTCTCTCGTTTTGAGAGAGAAAGGAATGATGCAAATGAGAAGCTTGGCCCTTCGGGCCAGGCATTTAGGGTTTTTAAAACCCTCCCCGAACGACGTCGTTCTGGGGAGGGTATCTGTGTAATTTAAGAAAGGGTAAACCCTTTCCGCAACCCTTATAGTTCTGTAACTTTGCAATTTAGTCACTGAAATTAACTTTTAATCATTTTAATTTAGTGTTTAAATTTTATTTTATTATATTTTAACCATTAACTGTATTTATATATATTTAGGAAAATATCAAATTTAGTCCCTCATAGTTTATTAATTATTATTTTAATCACGTATTAATTAATTAGGTTAAATTACACTATTAATCATTATCTTTCATAATATTTCGAATTATTACCTTTATTTTTAATACTTTATATTTAGTTTTATAATTTTTGAATTTCTTTTATTTTGATCATTATTTAATTACAATATTATTTTGTTATTACTTTTATATTTTAATTATTACTTTAATTATTATTATTATCTTAGTCATATAAATATATATATATATTTTTATAATAATGTTTATTTATTTTCGATATCAAAGAAAAGGGCAGTCTTAATACAACTGGATGTCCTATTCTGGTATTTTAAATAATTAAATATTATAAAAATTATAATTTAGTTTTATTTAAAATATTAAAATTTTAATATATTTTTATTTATTAATATCAAAGAAGAGAGCTGTCTTAATATACCTAGAAGTCATTTTCTGATATTTTTGAATAAATAAATATCTTACTATATTAAAATAAATTTTTGTCATAAAAAATGTTTGTCCTTTATTTATTTTTTAATATTGAAGAAAAGAGCTGTCTTAAGGCACCTAGAAGTTCTTTTCTGATATTTTTAAATAAATAAATATTTTTTTTATATAATTTTGAAATAATAAGATTATAAATTAAATATATATTTTTGAATTTTTAAATTTCCAATAATAGAGACAATTTATAATTAAAAAGTACCTGTTGAGTTAATCGAATGACGAAATTGGCCAAGAGGGGGGTGAATTGGCAATAAAAATTTTGTGGAAGCTTTTGCAGAAAATTGAAAGTAATTGCACAGCGATTTACAGTGGTTCGACTTTCTCAAACAAAGTCTACGTCCACTACCTTAGCTATCCACACTAAGGATTTTCCAACAAATTCACTAATTTGTTCTTTCTTTTGAGGCCAAAGAGATAACCTTACAATTCCCTCAAGAGTATACCCCAACTCTTGAGAACACTCTTTTCTCAAAGAGAAGATTACAAATTTGCAAACTTACAAGAAAACCTCACAAGGTAAGATGTTTGCACAATTCTAGAACAAAGAAAAGAACACTCAAAGATGAATACAACTGAGCACAAAAAGTGTTCTTGAAAGCAAAATGAATATTGAATGAAAGTGGGCTTGAAATGCTCAAACTTGAGGTTTGATGCTTTCTCTTTGATTCTCTCTTGATTCTAGTTGCTTGATGTTTCTTATTTTTGATCAATGGCTTCTAAGCTTGCTTAAATACACCTTGGATCACTTCTGAACGTTGGGGATAATTAGAGAAGATATTATAGCCGTTTTAGTGTGAAAACATTTAATAAAACAGCTTGGACAGTGGGGGGAATCGGTTCCCTCTCATAGGGAATCGGTTCCCTAAGTGTAAAATTCAAATATTTCGACCGTTGAACAAGGGGGAATCGGTTCCCTCCGAGCATTCTTGAAATCTCGGAGCCAAACCATTCAGGGGGGAATCGGTTCCTCCTATGGGGGGGAATCGGTTCCCTCTGAGTATTCTGGAATTTTTAGCTTTGAATTGGTTCGAAATACTTTGTAAAATATTTTGAAATTGTTTTATGATTAAAACTTAATTTTACACTTAAGTAAGGATCAAAAATGATTTTTGAAATATTTGGAGTAATGTTTTGATATTCGAATAGTTATATCGAATATACTTAGAAAATCATTTGGAAAATCTTAAAATTCATTTAACTTAATTTGTTATATCGAAATATTAAAATGTTTCAACAGTACCAATTTTGGGCGTTGTAGGGGTGCTAATCCTTCCCTAAACGTAACCGACCACGAATCCCT